GATATAAATGGAAAATCATAAACCAGTATGTGTAATACGAGTTGAATATTCTTTACTCAAAATGCTTTGGATCAGAAGAGTTTTAGATTCAGAAAGTTTTTGTATTTTTGAATGTTTGCATATACATAATGAGATATCTCGAAGAGGGGGACCCAAGTCTAATTACAAATTTTATTTATGTTCTATATATGCCATATACACATAGAATGAAGACAGTTTTTTTTTAAGGTTTTTGCCATACAGTGTGCATTCACTGGACAGAGACATAGAGAGAGGAAAAGTGAGAAATCACCTCCCAGGGAGGATGGCCATGCCATAATCCCTTATCCTCCATTCTCCTCCTCAGACTTTGGGCACACCACACACGCTCCTGGTTTGAGTTTCAAGCTGCTAGATCCGGGACTTAAACCGCAGTTGGCCATGTAGGAATCCAGCACCCTAACCACTACGCCACCTGCTGGCCCCTGAAAATAATGTTATACAATATTTTCTATCACATCATTTTTTTTTTGAGAGGTTTTCGCTATAGGTCGCATGCACTCTCCAGACAGACAGAGAGAGACATAGAGACAGAAAGCAAGAAATCACCCTCTAGAAGGGATGGTCACGCCGCAATCCCTTCTCCTCCATTCTCCTCTCGGGATCTTGGGCACACACGCACACGCGCCCGGCGTGAGTTTTAAGCCACCGGGTCCGGGACATGAACCACGGTCGACTACGTGGGAGTCCAGCGACATAGCCATTACGCTAACTGCTGGTTCCCTCTATCACATCATTTTACTGTGACCCATCACATGAGGTCAATAATACTTGTGGCACCACGCTCATGCTGGAAATTTTGGATTTTGGAGTATTTCAGATTTTGGATTATTTTGGAGTAGGGATGTTCAACCAGTATAATCAAAGTTATGTGAAAATAGGACAGCTACATGTACCTATGCATAAATATGAAGAAAATGCAGAAATATTTCTGAGAAGATGCCCCCCCAAATATCTGTACCTTTGGGGACACAAGATGGTAAAAATAGTGAAGAGAGAATGTTCCACTCTGGGGATTTACGAATTGTTCTGCCTCCTTTACAATAAGAATGGATTCATGTATTACCTATTTACGTTATTTTTTAAAAAACATATCTGTATTAAAACAATAGTAACAAGTGTAGGCTAGATACAGAATAACTGAGATTTGGAAAACGGTTCCGTATCTCCTCAAAATTTAACATGGAGGGACCAGACGGTGGCACACACATAAGAGGGTTCCGGGTTTGTGTCTGAAGTCTCCCTAAACACACTAGCACACAGGGGTGTGTCTTGGCGTGAGGGAACCTGCTGGGTGCCTGTTTTTCTCTCTCTTTTTCTCACTCTCTCTCTGCCTCCCTCACTCGTGGAAGAAAGAAATACACTTAAAAAGTTAAACATAGGGAACCAGCATTTAGTGTAATGGCTATGTCACTGGACTCTCACGTAGTGGGCCACGGTTCGCGTCCCGGACCTGGTGGCTTAAAACTCACGCTGGGCGCGTGTGTGTGTCCAAGATCCCAAGAGAGGAGAATGGAGGAGAAGGGATTGCGGCATGACCATCCCCTCTGGGGGGTGATTTCTCACTTTCTGTCTCTCTCTTATGGCGAGCGCACACGCCCTATAGTGAAAACCTCTCCCACCCCCAAAAAAAAAGAAAAGAAAAAAAAAGTTAAACATAAATTGAGTTACCACAGGACTCATTAATTCCACTGAAAAATTCTTATACACAAATGTTCATAGCAGCATTATTCATGATAGCTAGAAAGTGAAAATAATCCAATGCCCCTCACGAAACCCAGCCACAAAAGACTATATAGTATGTAATTCCATTTATATGAAACGTCTAGAGCCACACACCTACAGAAACAGGAAGTAGTGCTTGTCTAGGGCTGGGTTGAAGGGAGTGGAGATGAGAACTGCGTGCTCATAAGTACCACACTTCTTTATAGGATAATGAAATGTTCTAAAATCAACATCGCCATGTACTAAAAGCTAAAGTGTCCTTTAAATAGATGAATTTTATGATACATGAAATATATCTTAGTAAAGCCATATGTTAAAAATCTGTATGAATGGAGAGCAGGTGTCATGATGATGAAGGTGCTGGACTTCCATATGGCCAACCTCTTGAGTCCTGGACCCGGCAGCTTGAAAATTGTGCCTGGCAAGTGTGAGTGAATGTGTGCCCAAAATCCCAAGAGGAGAATGGAGAAGAAAGGATTATGGCATGGGCATCCTAAATGGGGGGGGGAGGGATTTCTCGCTTTCCTTTTCTCTGTCTCTCTCTAGTGAATTCATGCACTCTATGGGAAAAAAAAAATCTGAGTTTCAAAAGTGCATGGAAAATGGAATTAAAGTACAAGTTTCTAAGATTCATTTTCTGTGGATGTTTTGAAGACTCCTTGTACAACCTACTTATTCTTCAAAAATCCATGGAGAATGCATATTATAACAAAAACTATGCCTGATTTTCATTTTTTGGCACGATAATAAGCTTGCACATTAATTCCATTTTTTCCACAGGTTTTTTGAAGTCCCATCTTATAGCTATATATATATATACACCCTTATAAAAATCATTGTGAGCACACCATGCATACTATCATGACTCTTGCCTTTTTTAAAAGAGAACGATTTCTTGGAGATCTTTCCATGTCAACACTATGGATCTAGCTTGTCTCTTTAATGGCAAAATAATATTCCATATTGTTTTGGCTTATTCTTCTCTTGCTGTTTTTCTCCTGTGTTTTGCTTTTACTGATGCTATTACCTCCAATGCCGAGGATGGCCATGGAATGATTTCTTAGACATCTCCATATCAGATATAAACGACTTGAGAGGCCTATTAAGTCATGCCTTTCTTGGACTTTTGCTTAGCTTTTATCTAAATAGATAATTTATACCCATGCTACATGATTCAAAAGCACGATAAATTTACAGAGAACAGTAAGTAGCCCCCGGCCAATCAGTACAGTACTCATCCCTGAGCCCAACCATTTCTAGCAGGTTATGGTCTCATCATGAACCCTCATAAAAATAGCATTCTTTTTTATTTTTTTAAAGAAAGAATTACCCTTAATTTTGTTTATTATTATTGTTTTTCAATGTTCTATAGGACATATGTGCTCACGAGAGAGAGAGAGCGAGCAAGTGAGCAGACAGGTCCAGGACGTGGTTGTGTTTGGCCTTGTGGGAGTCCAAGACCTCAACCTGTTCACACCACCTGCTGGCCCCCAAAACAGCATCCTTAAATGGGTAGGCTTAAGTGGGCTCTTCAAGATACCAGTGCAAATGGGTACCTCAGTTTTTAGAGTCAAGGTAGAACATTTCCTCTTAGTAAGCATCAAATAGTTTTGTTGTTGTTGTTTTTGGAGAGGTTTTTGTTATAGAGCGCATGCACTCGCCAGAAAGACAGAGAGAAACGGAGAGACAGAAAGCAAGAAATCACCCCAAGGGGCGATGGCCACACCGCAATCCCTTCTCCTCCATTCTCCTCTTGGGATCTTGGGCACGCATGCACACGCGCCCAGCGTGAGTTTAAGCTGCCAGGTCCAGGACTCAAACCACGGTTGACCACATGGGAGTCCAGCGACATAGCCATTACACCATCTGCTGGTCCCAACATCAACTAGTTTTAAAAAGTGAAATAATCAAACAATGGAAGCAAATTACTTTTTAGAACTCTATAACAAATTCTACATTTGGAGAAATAATACTGGTTAAGAAAGATTTAACCACTCACACACACACACACACACACAGCCTGGTAAGACACAAAGCTGCTGAAATTCTGAGTCAGACAGGCTAGCTTTCAATCTCAACTTCACTATTCATAAGTCATGAATTTAAGTTATGAGATCTCTCTGAACCAGAGCTTTCTAACCTGTAAACTGAGGAAAATATTGCCTATCTTACAAATTTATGGGCAGCAGGTAGAGGTAAAAAAGTGAAGTGACACAGGACCAGCAGGTGGCATAGTGATTAAAAAGCTAGACTCCCATGTGGTGGATTGTAGTTTGAGTTCCAGCCTGGCAGCTTGAAACTCATGCCAGGCACGTGTGTGTATGCCCAAAATTCTTAGAGGAGAATGGAGGAGAAGGGATTGTGGTGTGGTCACCCCCCGGGGGCGATTTCTCACATTCTCTCTCACTGTCTCTCTGGCGAGCACACACACCCTATAGCAAAAAGTCTCTTAAAATTAAAAAAAATAAATAAACAAGAAAAAAAAAAGAAGCAACACAGACACTCATCTTGGGAGCAAAGTTTAAGGAGGTACCAAAAAACTCAATGAGCAAAATAAATGCTATTCACAGTTTAATACACTATTTCAAACAATCAAATTAATACCCTAGGTGGACCAGCTGTTGGTCTTCATAAACACAGTTTGATTGGAATCAGGATGATTTATACAGAGCCTCTTATGTGGCACCTGCCACTTGGAAATAGGTGTCTTTCAGATGAACCACTGAGCTCTGGTTGAAGGGTGTGTGTTGAGTCCTTGGTTCCCATCAAACGTCATTTAAAACAATATTCTCTGGTGACTCTCACATCCATCCCCCAACTCTCCTGACCATGGATCACAAAGGAAATGGGGCTCTGTCCTCAAGCCATTCATCAGAGTGGCAGATTCAAATGATGTAACAGGAAGTTTTCTGTTCCTATTGTAATATAAGTGAATCACCAGTTCTCTATTGATAATTCATTATGTGTTGTTACCCTTGCGCTGCCTCTCTGAAATGCTTTTTGCCATAATGATTTTATACCCCACTTCTATAATGGCCTCCTGACAGTGTCGATCAGTTCCCGTTTCGTGTACAATAATATTATTCTGCCATCCGTCTTGGGAGAATGCTTAAAAGCTTTCTCTCATTTTCTCCATTTAACTCATGTATTATCTGAGTTTTTACATTAAATGGCCATTCTTAATATCCCATGACATGTCACCTCTTTTCTAGAGAGGACACGGATACAGTACTTACCCGATTCCAGAATCTATACTAATCGAATCATGCTTTCCCACTTCGGCCGAGAGCAGTTCGTTCGGTGCAACGGCATTTAATCTGGAGAGAGAACTTATGAGAGAGAACAAAAACAATTTAGGCTGCAGTTGGTTAAATGCGGACGCAACTGATGCAATTTGTTTTATAAAAAGGAATTAGCAGATATTGAAGTCAAGTTGTGGAACGAAGGTCAAAAATGCTCAGATTGATGGCCCGCGTACAACCGACAACAATGCTTTTTTGAAAAGCCTACCCTGGGCAAATTGTGGATAAACATTTGGGTTTTGATACTACAGAAGAAAGGCTACAGCTAAGGCTTTAAATCTACACTATGATCTAGTAATTTAAAAACACTGAAATCCATCCCTGAAATCCTGATACTTCACCCAAGCCTTGCACCGAGATGTTTAATCTGTGCTTCTCAGCACTGCCTTGAGCAATAAGCTAGAAAGCCTATTTAAGCACCTATTTTAAGGGAGAAAGAATGTCTGATCCTTGACCCACCTTCCCTGCAGATTTCAAGCACAAAAGGAAAAAGTTGAAGCCCAAATTTCTTGAAGGCAGAAAGGGACAAAACTGACTTTTGCCTTGAGGCCCCCGGGCCGAGAACATTTTGATTTTAAGAGTTAGGGACTCTCAAACCTGCAGGCTGATTTCTTTCTTCTGCTGATAGAAAGTTCCATCTCACTAATGGATTGGGGGCAGGACATGCATGGGATGTGTTTGGAGGCCAGTAATGGAGAAGATGCTCATTTCAATCTGAGAGTGGCTGGGGTTTGCGAAGAGGGTGATGGGCAAAGGCAGAGGACAATGAATCATCCATCCTACTGACGTGGGCATCAGCCCTGGAAGAAATGGATGAACTTAATTGACCTACTCAGAATCTAAACTGTGGTGACCCAAGTAACAGGGAATAGACATTCCCCTAAGCTTCGGAACCAAATAGATAGGTTTGAATTCTCTCTCTGCCACAAGCTAGCTGTGTGGTTTTGGGCTAGTCACTTAACCTCTCTGAACTTCAGTTACCTCATCTTTATTATAAGGATAACAATATCTACCTTGTAGGTGTTCATTGAAGATAACACATACATGGAAGAACTTCAAAATGTTTGTGGGGGACCAGCAGTTAGCGTAATGGCTATGTTGCTGGACTCCCATGTAGTCAACCGTGGTTCGCGTCCCGGACCCGGTGGCTTAAAACTCACGCCGGGCGCGTGTGCGTGCGTGCCCAAGATCCCAAGAGGAGAATGGAGGAGAAGGGATTGCGGTGTGGCCATTCCCCCTAGGGGGTGATTTCTCGCTTTCTGTCTCTCTGTCCTCTCCGTCTGTCTGGCGAGCGCATGCACCCTATAGCAAAAACCTCTCCAAAAAAAAAAAAATTGTGGAAAAATGGAATTAAATAATAAGTTTATTTTGAAATCCGTGCATGTATTTTTCATAACACACACTTGCCACAAACTTCGTGAGGACCCCTCTTAATAGATATAATGTAGTACGCATAGCGTCTGGCACATTCTATGTGGCCAATATAACAGAGATACCCTTGTATGGCCAGTTATAACTTGATGGATTGCCATAGCCCAAATTTCAAACAGCTAATTGGATTGTAAATTGACTTGTTTATTCCATTTAAAAACAACAGACATGTACACTGAGAAATTAAAATGATGAGAAGACTTCATATAACAGAATTTGTTTTGCACTTTAAAAATTAATCTTCAAAACTTCTTTTTGCCATTTGGGTTGCCAGGGTATCACTGGCAAAGACCCCGATAGAGAGAGGCTTTGCCATCCTCTTTATCCAAAGGTATTTATTTTATTTTATGCTTGCATTCTGGCTCATGGAACCTCTAAGCTGGCATCATGTTGGATGATAAATTCATTTGTTTGGGCAACTTCAGAAGGGAAATTTGCCCAGAAAACTGGCTGGAGTTGGCTTTGGAAAAAAACAAATTAAGTCTCTAGCAGACCGGGGTCCCTTCCAAACGAGTTCCCAGTGGGCAGGAAGTGTACGGTTCTGTATAGTGTGCAATCGACGCACAGAGCCCCCAAACCGTGTTAAACAAAGAAGACCAAGCCATTGGCAGTTGTATCGATTGGCAGATATCAGATTGCATTCCTTTGTCTACTGCCCAGCTTATTTTCAAACTCCGGTCCAACCTTTGTGGAGGAACATGCTTAAATGCTGACAAATTTCTCCCTCCGTAAGAAATTGCTCTTGCAATTTGTCTTTTTAGCTGAGCTTCTGTGGGCCTGTGTAGCATTAAAAAAAAAAAAATGTTGTCCTTGTCACCTGCCATTTTTCCAGCCAGCCTGACACCCCCGGGCTTCCCAACAGCTCTCTCCAGCAGGAGCTGTCTCCGAGCTCTTAACACCACCAAATAATTGAGGTTGTCACATCTCTTGTTCATTGTTTTTTCCAGCCCTGGAAAAATGCAAATATTTCATTGTAGTCATTAATTTTCCCATCCTTTTCTTCAAGAATCTCATCGGTGTGATCTCATGAAAAGGGCTGAAGGCATGATTACAAACACAGTGGCAT